GGTTTAGATTAAATGAATGGAAAACAGTCTCTGTTCAGTTAGCTGGGCTCTGGACATATACATAAAGAAGTTGGCTTAAATACACTTTTCAAAACAGTCACAAGAAAAGTTGTAAACTGATGATGAAAGCAGTGTGCATATCTAATAAAAAGTTAAATCTGTACTTTTATACACACACATCTCACTTTAGAAAAAATAATAAGGGACAATTAAGACAGAGTTTGCCACTTTAGTGTCTAATGTTTTGGGGTACAGAGGGAGAGAAGAGGACTGTCTTCCATGCATTTTACAGGCAAGAAATATACCCTGAAGTTGTTGAATCCTATCTTTCCCTTTTCTCTGGGGAGCTTTTGTGCTGCCTGTGACAACTAAGTGGTGTTTCACAGAAAGGCATCAGGGTAACACAGGCTCCAAGAGAGCTCTTGCATCTTGCTGTCCAAACAGAAAGACCCTTAGCTATGAAGTTAAAGGGAAGAAAAGCCTTCCAACTTGGCAGTAGGATTAATGTTTATCCCTTAATCCTTAATCCTAAAGCAGGCTTGTGGCAATTACAGATGAGATTCTCACACACTCATCAAAAGGTGCTGTTACCTTTATTGTGTATATACTCAACTCTTCTGTGATTCAGTGACCTACAGAAAATGACCTGGACATTTTCATGAAAATTAGCATTAGTAAAAAATGTACTCTTTTTTTCTCCTTTATGGTGCAGATATGAAGATTTTACCAGCTTTACCTTTTTATCCACTGACCACATCCTAAACACCAAAATGGCTGGTATCCTTGGTCACAGGACTTCATCTTTTTGGAATTATTTCAAGTAGTCTGTGCATGTGGTGGGCACACAATTCCTCTGGCTGACTGAGCTGTCATCTACGAAGGATCTCCTTAGAAGGATATCATCGTCACTGCAATAGGTTATTAAAAATATTTTTAAACTCTTTCAGTCTTATTGGTGATTATTTTACACTGGTCTTCCCTAGAGTCCACCCAGATAGCCAGCACTTCTGCTGCTTTTTTCCCCAAAACCTATGGCTGACAGCTGAGAACACTTAGGCCTGCTGCTCATTTTCATAAGCACACATAGTTCATACCTGTTCCCTCCCACTGGTGTGTGCTGGTTCTCGTTTAACCTAGGGTAATGTGACAGAAGCACAGGAGGCTGCTGCTGCTGCACAAAACCACTTTTAAGACTGAAATTTTCCTTTCAGGTCACTCTTTTTAAAAGCAAGCCTCAGGCCTCAGCAAGGACAGAAGCAGGGTATGTAACCTATTCTTTATTTATGTGGAATCCCGTGTATTTTTGTTGGGGGTGTGGAAAGGGGAATGGCAAATGCTTTCTAACTCTCCATGGGAGAGTTGTTACTCTGGCATGAGTAACAAAAAGAGACAACCTTAGTCCTCCTTTTCAGCTTTACTTCAAGCCTTGCTTACTGACAGTCTCTCTGAGTGTCCTAAGGCATACACAGCTGTGCTGAGATAAACAGGCACAGCTACAACATCCACTCTCAGGTACTGCCAGTTCCCATCCTTTTTTACTGTGCTAGTGAAAGTTTCTAGGTGATTTAAACCAGGTTAACAAAAGTCTTACAAAAAAGTAAGTACAATAGTGAAAGTTCCAGATGACTCAAAGCATCTGCATCTGCCTTCCCTGATCCAGATGCACAGGAGGCTGAGACCAGAGCTAGAGTATGTGCATTCTGTATGCACTCACTTATGCCTTTAGATCTAGGTAGAATATTCACCCTGCATTGTAAAAGTTCTTTCCATTGCTCAGAAACATAGCCTGCTTAGGTCTTCCCATCCCAAAAGCATTTGCTGCATTTTTCATCCCACTCCTATTGGGCCCTGATTCTCTAAACTTCATTGCTCCAGTTTTCAATAATGAAAATTTTCAATAATTGACAGGACAAGAGGATAGAGTCTCAAGCTCCATGAGGGAAGATTAAGGTTGAACATCAGGAAAAACATTTTCAAAGGGTGTTAAACATTGGAACAGGCAGCCCAGGTAGGTAGTGGAGTCACCATCCCTGGAGGTGTTCAAGAAATGACTGGATTTTGCACTCAGTGCTATGGTTTAATTGGCATGGTGGTGTTTGGTCATAGGTGGGACTCGGTGACCTTGGTGGTCTTTTCCAACCTTAAAGATTCTGAGATTCTATGAATGAAGCATTTAGACATCCCTTCATCTCCATGTCCATGCACAGACATGTAATTGAATGGGAGGATCCTCGTTTTGTGGGAAGAATATTCTTCCCAAAACATTTTAAAGGCTAATGTACAGTGCTGAAGGGTTGCATAAAATGCTACATGATGGGATTCTGTTAAAATACAAATCTTTGTTGTTGTCATGAGAGCAGTAAGAGGCATTACTTACTGCCAGCATCACCCTCCTGCTCATGGAGGGACAAGATTTGGGAGAGAAGGTAGTAACTTATGTGGAAAAAATTGAGGGAGCAAAGAGTTTACAAGTGAAATCTTTCTTGTCAGTAAACCAGAGCAGAGGTGGAGTGTAACAACTGTTAAAAGATTGTTAGGTATTTGTTTAACTTAAAAGAATGTGGAAAAGCAAGTAAGTATAAAGGGAAAGGCGGCTAAAAATCTTTCACCATTTTCTTATATTCTAATAAAGAAAATAAAATAACATTTTAAAATTTAAAAACAACAACATTTCCTAATTGTTCCATTCTAAGCATTTTGATCTTTTTCTAGCTGTCTATTGTACGTGTCCATCAAATATTGACTTCCAAAGTATTTTCTGTCTGCCACTGCTTTTGATAATGCAGTGATTTTGCCCAAACTTTAAAAACTAGCCATAGCATCTGTGCAAATACAAGGAATGAAAATGTAAAAGTCTGAAAGATAAATGTCATTTAAAACTATTTGTGCTAAACATCTTATATTACAATGTCAGCAAGAACCAATGTCATAGTTGTCAAATACTAAAAGGGAAACTTGGTGCTTCGTTTTCATGGTTCTAGGAAAGAAGAATGTAAAAATGTAAACAAGATCTTGAATCACCTGTTATATGTTTGGGTCTTTCTTAATAACCTACAACATTCTGTAGTAACAACAACAAACATTACATAGTTTACTGTTTATAATGTCCCCTTTAAAAGTGTATGCTAGGTCAAAAAAGAGGGTAGTAAATACAATTATATTCTAGTGCTTGGAATTATTCCCCATAGAAGAAGTTAAAATCTCTTAAGTGTTTTTTTTTAAGTACAGTACAAACCCAACCACCTTGAGGCTAATAATTTGCTCTGTTCTTTACTATGCTCAATAAAACAGAATTTTGATACTCACTACCTACAATTTGTTTTTCTTTGCAGCACATTTGCTTTTCTTTACAGCACATCCTAAATTCCTTTGTGAGACAAAATGCTAATGAAATTTGAACACCAGGACTTCAGAATTCAACACTCGTATCCTATATTCATAATCTCTTTTACCTCAAGAATCAGATCTTGTCCTAAGCACACAAGAATGTCCTAAAAATTTAAAGATTAGTATTTTAAGTTGTGAGGTATTTGTGTTTCCCATTTGGTGTTTGAGCCTCTAGGGTGAAAATTTGCAGACTCACTCTAGTAGTCACAGCTGTTACAAGTTAGAGTTTTAATATAATCAAATGACTTTGAGATGTTTGGTAGAGTGAGACTGGACTGTGCTGTAATATCCTTGTATTGCCTATGTAGCAGATAGTCTCTAAAAATTGGCTTTCTCTTTCCTGGGTTTCTACTGACATTTCCCAGAAATCCCTTTGTATGACAGCAAAAAGCATAAGATGATTTTAGTTTAATAGTACAATGTTCTGCATAGAGGCTTCTACTTGTGCTTTAAAGAAGCAGTGTGCTCAAATCAGAACAATAATTGTTCAAAGCCCCACTTTTTTCCTCTCTGAAGTAGATTTACTTTGCAGATGTTAGATGGCCACTGGGGGCTTGGCTCCCCAAGAGTTTACATTTACCAATTTTTAAGCAGATTGTGCTGGAGGACACAAAAATTCTTCCATTGGGTTATCATTTCATTTCAATAAACGCTTGTCTAAAAGCAGAAGCAGATGGTTGCAATCTTAGAAGGGATTTTTTTAAAAACTACTGTACACAAGCAATCACTTTAGGGCTAATAATTTGCTCTGTTCTTTACCATACTCAGTAAAAAAGATCTTCCTTGCTTTGAAGAGGTTTTTATCTTGGATAAAAAGGGAGACAGGCAGACAGATGGCATAATGCAAGGAAAATACAGAGTGGGAATATATTAATAAATGGATTCATCAGCAAGCTGCATAAATTACGTTATCCACCTTTTTGTATAACTTAGGAACTTACAGTTCAGGAAATACAGTTTTTCATGAAACATGAAATCTCACAGGACAGTTTCAGGCTACTGTGTCTTTTCTGTTCCTTCAGCATAAGCCTTGTTCCTGCCTATACTTTCAAAACTATCTCACAACCATTTCAAGAAAAATTTCACATTGTCAGCGTAGTCTGAGGCTCCAGGAGCCCCAAAAGAGGTCCTCCTCTTTAAAATTCGAGGCTGTTAGGTAGTTCTGTATGACAGCAATCTAAATTCCAAATAGGTAATAGCCCTCACAAGGAGAGTGCTCAGGGAAAGAGCAGCGTTGGCCTGCTCTGTTGAGATGACTGGATGATTGCACTTTACTTGGGTATTCCAAACTGTTTAAAACCTGTTTGAATAACTGATAAAGGAATTAAGCTAATACACCAGCATTACCAGTTCCATGGTGCAAATTAAATAGCTACGCCGAGATTTCAGCACCTACCTAGTGGGGTTATGGTGCCACCCTTAAGGTACATAAAGAAGAGTTACTTTTTAGGTCATAGGAGTTGCTCACATCTCTTTGGGACTCTTTGGTCTGTTCTGACCAGACAGCCTATCAGATAGACTTCAGAGAAAGGATAGATTCCCAAACCACTAGTAACTTTTAGTGTGACATTAGTCCTCTCTTCCACAACTGTTAAAAATGGGCTCTACAACTCACTGCATAGACAGCCAACTGCAGAATTAATGCTCTCTATTTTCACTTTGTTTCACCTAGGTTCATGATGTTATGTCATCAACTAGTGCTTGTCTTTGGACTCTCACTAGCTAGTGGGGTGTGTGCATCTAGAAGCTGCTACTCAGAAGCCCAAGTCTCCATATATTTTTTCTGCAACCTCACAGATATTCCACTTGTGCCGAAGGACACGGTGAAGCTTTTTCTAACTTCCAACTATATCATACGAGTGACTGAAACTTCGTTTCCGCTGCTGGAGCACTTGTTGTTGTTGGAATTTGGAACGCAGTTGGTCTATCCTGTTACCATAGGGAAAGGAGCTTTCAGGAACCTGCCAAACCTTCGTATCTTAGATTTGGGATACAACAGGATTCTTCAACCAGATCTTGATGCTTTTGTGGGTTTGCGAAATCTGACTGTACTCCGTCTGTTTGGGAATTACCTTGGAAATTCCATCCTTGAGGAACGTTACTTTCAAGATTTGAGATCATTAGAAGAATTGGATCTTTCAGGGAACAAAATCACCAGACTTCAGCCTCATCCATTATTTTATAATCTAACAGCCCTGAAAACTGTGAACCTGAAATCCAACTACATATCCGACCTGTGCCAGAGCAATCTTACCAGCTTCCGAGGAAAACATTTTTTATTGTTCAGCCTCAGTTCTAATTTTTTGTACAAGGCAGAAAGTGTAGACTGGGCCAAATGCCCAAATCCTTTCAAAAATATTACATTTAACTCACTAGACCTTAGCAAAAATGGCTGGAGCACGGAGAGAGTCCAATATTTCTGTACAGCCATTAAAGGGACTCAAATCAGGTCTTTAATATTTAGCACTCATATAATGGGTTCAGGATTTGGCTTTCAAAACTTAAAAAATCCAGATAATTATACTTTTGCAGGATTAGAAAGAAGTGATCTTAGTTCCCTTGATATTTCAGGGGGTTACATTTTCTCTCTCAACCCTTTAGTCTTTCAAAGCCTTGGTAATCTGGAAGTGCTGAACCTTTTCAAAAACAAGATAAATCAAATCGAAAGACAAGCATTTTTTGGCTTGGGCAACCTAAAAATCCTCAATCTCTCAAGTAATCTGTTAGGTGAGTTGTATGATCATACTTTTGAGGGTCTACGCAGTGTAGCATATATTGATTTACAGCAGAATCATATTGGGATGATTGGTGAAAAATCATTCCATCACTTAGTAAGTCTGAAAATAATTGACCTCCGAGACAATGCCATTAAAAAGCTCCCTTCCTTTCCACGTCTGACGTATGCCTCTTTAGGTGACAATAAGCTAATGACTGTAGCCTACACAAGAATAGATACAGCATACCTAGATTTAGAAAGAAATTGGTTGGCAAATGTAGGTGACCTGTACATTCTTTTCCAAGTTCCAGATCTGCAATATATCTTCTTAAAACAGAATCGGTTCTCTTACTGTGTGAAAAGTGATAATGCTATACAAAATAGTCAGTTAACCTATATGGATCTGGGTGAAAATATGTTACAGCTTGTGTGGGAGAGAGACTTATGTTTGGATGTGTTTGGGGCACTGTCCAAACTCGAGGTTCTCCATCTGAATAACAACTACCTCAGTGCTCTTCCACAGGACATTTTTAGAGGTCTAACATCTCTAAAAACCCTTAATCTGGCTTCCAATCTGCTGTCTCATCTTTCTCCTGGGCTTTTTCCGGAGAGCCTAATGTACCTCAACTTATCTGGAAACCAGCTGCTTTCCCCTGAGCCTGAAGTCTTTATGACTTTGAATATTCTGGATATAACACATAATAAGTATGTCTGTGATTGATCTTTAAAGAGCCTACTAGTGTGGCTAAATGAAACCAATGTAACCCTAGCTGGCTCCGAATCTGACAGGTACTGTGCCTACCCACCTGAATTTGCAGGGGTACCACTGTCGTATCTGGAATATGATGGTTGTGATGAAGATGAACTCCAGCAGGCACTCAGGTTCTCACTATTCATTGTCTTCTCTGTCACCTTTCTCATGTTTCTGGTGTCAGCCATCATTTTTACTCGCTGTCGGGGGATTTGTTTTATCTGGTATAAAACTATCACCAAAAAAATAATAGCCAGCCATCCACAAGTAACAAATAAATGTGAATACAGATATGATGCGTATCTGTGCTACAGCAAAAATGACTTTGAATGGGTCCAGAATGCTTTGCTAAAGCACCTGGATTCACAGTATTTGGATAAAAACAGATTTACCTTGTGTTTTGAGGAAAGAGACTTCTTGCCTGGGGAAGAACATATCAATAATATTCGTGATGCCATTTGGAACAGTAGGAAAACAATTTGTATTGTGACCAGGCAGTTTCTCAAAGATGGGTGGTGTGTGGAAGCCTTCAATTTTGCCCAGAGCAGGTACTTCTCTGATCTGAAAGATGTCCTCATAATGGTAGTGGTTGGGTCACTTTCTCAATATCAACTGATGAAACACAAACCAATTCGAAACTTCTTACAAAGGAGTCGGTATTTGCGGTGGCCTGAAGATTATCAAGATGTAGACTGGTTTTTAAATAACCTTTCGTCCCAGATTCTGAAGGAGAAAAAGGTACAAAGGAAAGCCAATGGTATTGAGCTGCAGACTGTAGCAACCGTCTCACACTGACAGTGTGTGAGTTCCTGGCAAATATCCCATTTCCAGCTGTGCCATGGCAGGAGTAAACAGAAGTTTGGTTCATCTTTCCTTGAAAAGACAAGGTAGAATGATAACTGATTCAGTGTAAATCCTACAAAACATAGAGACAGCTTGAAAGCACCGAGCAAATAGACGAAAGTACTATTATTTTATATGGACTATGACACATATTTTCAGAAGAATTAAATGAATCATAGATACTCCACATTTTGGATGTTCATCTTTAGACAATTCAGTCCTGATTTTCAGAGTACTACCTACTTCATGGGTCTGTTTCAGTTAGAGAAGGATGCTCATGGTTGTTTTTTTAAAAAGAGCCCATGGAGTGACCAAATATGCTTTCAGGCACTGCCTGACCATCAGTTCATGGACTATTTCTGTGCTTTCTGAACCTGTAACTTCTCATGCTCCATTTCAAAGTCAAATCATTGTTTCGCACCTTTATGCTTTAAATTGTTGTAACACAGATTTCATTTGTTTGCTTCCTACTCAATTATCCTCAGCTTCTCAACTGGAACATACAAACTTTGGACTTCATTCGTGCCCTTTCCCTTCACAACTTCTGTTGTCGTAAAGCTACAGTCACTGGTCTACTTCATTTGCTGCTGTTTCAGCCTAGTGCTTTTTCAGTTGAGCTGCCTTCTGCCCTGCAGAGAGGAGCAGGCATTCCCTTTGGATCTGAAGCAAGCCTAGGCTTGAAAAGCAAACAAGAGACTACCTCAGTAGCCGTGCAGGCTGTACACCTGTGACAGGGCCAATGGCCCAGTGACTGACAGACAGCATTGGCATGCTGGGATTGGGAAGTACACTTGCACTTGGTAATTGTACTGTGTATTTTGGGTTGTTCTCAGCACATCCTGTGTCCTGATCAATTCTAAGGTGTTTTTCTGCTTCTACTGAAATGTTTTTCTGGAGTCATTAATGCCTGGTAGTCTCTTACTTCTCTAATTATTTTACCACTGTTTGCTCAGGTATCTGTCTTCAAGGAGTTGTTCAGGGTCATTTTAATAGAAGTCAGACTCAGTGTTCACTGATACAGAACCTGCACCTATTATTTTGATTGTGACGTACTCCTTGAGTGTACTGTTCATCTCTGTACATTTATTCAACAAAAGTTTACCAAAATACTTTCAGCAGGGCCTCAGTGGGGCTTTTTGCTGTAGTGAGGAAGCAGGAATGGGAGGTTTTATAAGTTGTCTGTCTTGACCTTAGCTGCAAACAAATAATACCATCCTAACTGTTTTGATAGAGATGAAATGTGAATGCACTTATTTGAATATGGATGTGCCTGTGGCTGATCTAATTTACTCTCAGCACACAAGTATACAGGATTTCTATAGATAAAAACAGGATTTCTATAGATAAAATTACTATAATTACTACAGTATTTCTTCCCTCTCAATCAGTGTAGTCACTCAGGAAGAGAAAAATGGGTAAACCTTGGAATATTTTTCAGGGGGCATGGGACAGGGGATTGCAGATCAAAGAAGGGATGGACTGTGTTGGTGAATCCCTGGGTGTCGCTGTTGGCTCAGGTAACAGCCCGGGTTTCCAGAACCCCTCCTGCCTCCCCGCTACTGCAGCTGCTGGCAGTGGGGGAAAATGGTGCTGCAGAGCGAGGGCGAGGAAGTCACCAGCAGCCCTGGCTTCCCAGAGCCCCCCTGGGCGGTCAGAAAAGCCACCACAGGCATTTCAGGAATGAGTCTGTACAATGAAGATCATCTGCAGCTCCGGGTTGTTTGTGGATCTGTACGTGGTGTAAGAGTTGGGGATTTTAAAAGCACCCTTAGAAATTATATTTGAATGATTGTCACAAAACATTTTTTGGTCAAGTGTTGATTAAGAGCCCTCTCCAGCTACGACCTTACTGTATACTTACAAGACACTCCTATCACTTCACGTAGTTAAAACTTACTTCTGCTAACCTCTGTATGCAGGAATGACAAGTACATACAAGAGATGTCTTTAATTATGGCTCTTTCATTTGAGATGCTTTTGTCTACCTCATGCTTATGCCACTGGTGGGAGGTGGGTACATAAAGGTTGCATTTACTTCAGTCTTCGGAAAGATCTGTCATTTTATAGAAAGGTTTTAATAAAACCTTTGCATGAAATTTCATTGTCTGCCTCTGTGCTTGCATACCATTTTGGAAAAAAAGAGATCACACCTGTGTCAGAAGCAGCTGGGAAAACTTCTTTCTACCACAGAGGCAGCTTAGAAATGTAGAAGAAGCCCAGCCCCCATCTGCACCTTTCAAATTCTGTTGCAAGGGGTCTACAAAAAGCAGCAAAAGGTTTTTTGGAGAACATGCTGTTGAACCATTCCTGATTGTGGAGTGGTCTACAGGCATATGAATAACTGCAGTGTCAAATTTTAAAGAGATCCAAAACATCTTCCTTTTTACTCACTGTGAAACCATTCCAAGCCTGAGATGCTCAGAACAAATGCAGTTGGTGCAGTCTGTCCTATATGATGAAAAATCACCTTCAAATAGATCCCAGAACCCTGAACATCACCTCTGTAGAGTCACCTATCTTAAATGACAAAGCCTGGGGAATTGTCGAGAAAGAGCTTGTGCAGACTTTATACTCCTCTGCTCAGCAGGAACCACAAAAGCATCCTGTACAAAAATGGAGAATGACTATGTTTGATGAATTAAGGCCATAAATTGAGCCTTAAATTGAGCCTCAACCTCATAACTATTGATCGAATTTCCTTCAGGCTCGCTGGGAACATTACTGCTCTATTAGAATTTTATGGCTCCTTAGTTAAAGATACTCTCATCAGTTTTACTCACCTTCCTCAGTGAAAAACATTAACTTGTTGGAGGGTGTCCAGAATAGGGTGTGAAGTGTGGCACTGGCTCTAAAGCAAGCTATTAAGATGGAAGGTGGTGAATTTATTTGCAGTAGCAGCACAGGGAATATTCAGAGGACAGTGACTCAGTGCCCCGTGGTATCAGCTCAGATATTCAATGGTAAAAGCCTCCCGCCACCATTGCAATATATATTATAAACGTTAACTGGTCAAGTGGGCAATATTGTTCAACAGCAACAGGTATCCAGCCTACCAGAGTCCAAGGATTGCAAGGGCTCCTCCTCAAAATCAAGGCACTCGAGACCAGAACCCAGATTCTACAAACATATCCCTGTGGAGAGTAACAGAAGCCAACAGTTATATGCTTACATATTATTTCACATTTTACATTATTATTATTATTTCACATTATTATTATTTCATATACAGTGAAACCAGGCTTCCCCTCCACTCTGACACGCATACTAGTCTCAGCAAACTGCAATTATATTTGCTAATCCCAATCCCTAATCCCTCCTCAGAGAGACTGTTCCACATGCAGGTAGATACATCACCTTGTTAATTAACAAGGTGATGAATCTAACTACTAACAGTTAGTATTGCTCCCACCCCAATAGATGCACTACCTGTGTGGATCTCACTAGGTAGTGAGACTGCAGAGAGTTCAGTTTCGAGTGGGACACTCCTACGTTGCTCAGAATCACTCTGCCTTTAATTTTCTTGTGTCACATCATTAACTCAGCTCCTCTGCTGACTTCTGGGTCTTTTTCAGCAGGACAGCTCTCCATCTCACTGCCAGAGACCATCTGCATTTCAGACCATGGGATCCCACCTTCTCAAGTTCATGTGGTAGTGATTACTTTACAATGGCTTTAACATGTTCTTTTCTTGCTGGAGCTGCAAATAGCAGCAGTCCAGTTAAATCACACAGCAAGGCTCATACCTGACAAAATACTTACAGATGAAGAGCAACACACAACTGAGTGGTAGGAGTGAGCGGTGAAGATGCTGCAAATGGAGCAGAAGCTTCACATGTGAATCTCTGGCAAAGCAGCTAAGTTAGGAAGGGTACACGTGCTTAAGCATCTTGCCATAGAAAGGGGACTTGGGTTCCATGAGAAGTGGAAACATGAAGTAAGGAAAGATAGACAAGGAACAACACACATCTTTAGGGTCTGACTCTACAAACATGAGCCAGCATAATGCCCTGACGTAGCAAGTGGATTCACCTGAAAATGGGACTAGTGCAAGCAAATATTTGTAGAGTTTCTTTGCACTTATACAGTACTACCAACAGCAAGCAGGCAGTTCTGTAAAATAAGGCTTCCAAAATCAGAAGACTGGTGTAAAAAACCCCCAGAGATTAGGAAACAACTATACATGTCTGGTGTTTGACCATGTAAGACATTTTTCACTTTCTTCAGGATCATAAGAAGGTAGATATTCATGCAGTCCATGAATAGGAAAGACTTTTTGAAATAGTACAAATATTTCAGGACTTCTGCATAGCTGTGAGGAACATCTGAATTAGTCAGGCCTTGAATAAAGAACTTTAGCTTTCCAGCCCTCTCTGGGCAGTGGTCTTACATCACATATATCCTCTTCCATTCGTGCAAGATGTTTTAGTTGTTGCTATTAAGTAGGATCAGCAAAACTACAGCCTTGACTGCAATGAAATAATGGGAAGGAGAACTGGCAACATGAACACTTCCCATACAGAAAAATTGACATCAGCAGACCTCACAAGGCCTCTTCTGGTGGTTATTTCATTAGGCTGTTTGCCAGATTCTGAGAAGGTGTCACACCTTTGGAATGCCAAACAGCTCTTTCTGCCTTTGGGTGTGAGCACTTTTTCATACTCAGCTTTTAGTTACCTGTTTTCTGATTTGTCTCTCACAAAGATGAGCTGAGCATCCTGGTCTTCATTCTCCTTGTGCTGCTCCTGGCAGCCATCAAAGATTCCATACACCTGGAACGGCGCCGCAGGTGCTGCTCCATCATTATTTCCTTTAGCTAAACAAAAGCTGCAAAGTAAGTTTACAAGCCAAGATTTACCCAGAAGGCCACTGTGAGCACTGACTTGAGCAGGTACCAGGAATTTTAAATTCAGCCTTATCAGTCAGCCTTGCCTCACATCAGTGGGGCAGGCCAACTCCTACGTGATTGCTTCTTGCTGTTAGTGCAGATTGACGGGTGGCTTCTCTTCCCTTTCTAACCTTAACTTTGCTTTTTGTACTGTGCATATACAGCGTAGTGGGTGCCAAAAATAAGTCTACATTTCCTTTCCCAATATGCAAAAGTCAGTATGTAGGTATGGCATGAATTATTTCATAGTGCAAAGACTATCTATTCATAGCAGACTCTGTTTGTTTCAGACATGCAGTTTTCCTTCCTTTTAGATAGCCTATTGTTTGTCTTTTTCATTTGTATTAAAAATAAAATCTTTGAGAACTGCAAGCAAGAGAGAAAAAATATATTTCTTCTGAAACTAACAATTCTCCAAACAGGAAGGTTACCTTTTTCCTGTTTAGACATTATGTTCAAAGAAAGGAAGTCGGGATTTTCAATGATAATAATAATTACATGGCATGTAAACATCAGTAAGTATCAAAGAAAGCTTCACTTTTTATTTAGTGTGTCCCAAATGCTATGCTGCTGTTCAGAGTATTTTTACCAGTTCACCAGCCTCTTGCAAAACTGGATTTATGAGCAGTCATTGCACTGGGTTGCTCAGCTGTGTGCAAGATTTCACAGTGAAAGAACAGCATTATCAGGCTGCCTCAAGCTGGCATGTAGGGCAGTGATGGAGAGGAATGTAGCAAACAGAGAATCCTCATACAAAACAATGAGTTTGATACGGCAGGTTTTGAGGGGGGGAAGGTGGGTTTGAGTCAGGATTGCACATACCAGGCAGTGTGATCTTTGCATGTTG